CAGCAAATTCCTTCTTAGTAAGTTTAACTTCATTCTACGATGGATTAAGATTTCTATTCCATTACTGAAGTTGTACTTGTTTAATATTTATTAGTGCTCAAAGAAACGTCCAGTTTTCTTTCATCCAACCAAATGATGTTCAAAATATTCAAAATATCACAGACATTGAACGATTACAAATCCATAAAGCTAACGTTGATGCTCGATCTGAAATAAGCAAAGTATGAGATGATAATATGTAGACTTGCAGGTAACATGTTTATATTATTTAAGCGTCAAATTTCGTGTATTGTACCAATGAAACCAGAATATCATAAATATCTAGTTGCTCTAAAAGAATTTGTTACGGGTACGAATGATTACGATCCATCAGACTACTATCATTTGAAGAAAAAAATAAGGAACACGGGCAATAACCCAAAAAAACAAAAACTTGATTGCGAATTGAACATAAAAACAATTGATACTGTTCCACCAGTGACCCTCTTCGACTATGAATGTCCGACAGCAAACGGTATGCCGTTTCTTTTTCGTCATCGACTTATATCGTTTATTGATTTAACTTTATGAAACATCGGATTTATATTGAAAGACTCTGTTTTTTTAGTACAAGCAGTTACAACGACTACGCAAATGCAATCTAGTGCAACTAATATCAATTATAGTGCTCAACCACGTAGATATATCTCATTATTTGGATATCCATCTGATTTAATCTATATATTTTTTTGCAGATATATTTATACCTTGGCAAACTGATGGTGTCTTACTATCAACTACTGCAATATCAAACTTTCCAACGGTAAAGGATTTATTGATTAGCAACATTGTATGCACATAAATCTATTAAGTAATATGTCTCGTTTCTAGACGGACGACGAAGTATCTTTTCTCGGCTTTAGTCCAACGCCATCTTGTTTGAATGCTTTACATGACGATTCATTAAATGAGAATTGGTAATAAAATAATAGTTGCAAGAAGTTTTTCTTCGACATAATTCAGTACATTTATTTGATGGGTGCACCGTTGTGAATGTACCTGACGATAGGTACCCGAGTATACTTGCATTTTTCTTAGCTACCTATGTGGATATCTCTCTACATGATTGTCATGAATTTTATCTTGAATTTTTTTCAAGTAAACATTATTTGAGAGGTACACGGCAAGAAAAAAGCATCGAAAAAAAGTGTCTACTAGAAAACGTCCAGGAAAAAGCCTACTAAAAAAAGCGTCGACAACAATGAGTCCACAAAAATTCACCCAAATACAAGCGTTAACTGATAAGCATAGTATTTAAGTGCATACTGCATAGATGAATCGTTTCACTGCACTAGCGTATCTTAGAAACCACCGATTTCTTGCGATAGTGGATCGTCTCAGCAGGTCAGGTGTACTTCCAAACTATAGTGCGGTCAAAACCGAGTCAAATATTATTTAGAAATGTCTTCAAATTTTCTTTTTTCATATGACCAAAAGCATACAAAAAAATTCGTTCACAAAAAGTGTGCAGCAGAAAACGCCAGTAAAAAAGCATGTGCGACGAAATGCGACGAAAAAACCTCCAACAAAAAGCGTCAACTTTTGGACGTTTCATTTTGTCGTGCATCCAATTACTTGGGCTGAACGCAGCAAACACTCTAGAAAAGAGGACTTCTTCAAAAACTGAAATGGTGTTTTTCATTTGTCTATAATAGAGATCTGATGTGAGTTTTCTGAAAATTTGCAATACTGATTTTTTCATTTTCCGGAAGAACAGACATTGAGTTTTTCATTTTCAGCAAAACAAAACCGGCGATCTGAAATATGTGCTTTTCTTTTCCTTTTTCAACTTCGAGGTCTTCGGAGAATTCAAGAGAAATATTGTGTTTTCCAAATCCTGAAAATCACAATAACCCGAGAGCATTTTTTAAAATTTTCTGTTTTTGGCTTTTAAATTAAATTTTACGGTTTTTAACATCCTAAAATTTCATATTTTTCAATTTAAAAAGCAAAAAAAGAAAATTTTAAAAAAAGCTCTCGTGAGGGACTCCGGAATTCGATTCTGAACAACTTTTGTATCAAGAGTTTTGTTTCAAAATGCTTGCTTCGAGCGAAACTAGCCGTAAGGCTTTTTTTCAAAATACTTTTAGCTCTAAAATTTCCTCGGGAAGGTGAAAGTTAAATTTCTCCGTCAAACTTCATTTGGGAACGATGTAAAGTTTTTCTCCTTATACAAATTAATGTTCTCTATCGAACTACGCTAGAACCAACTCTTCATATCAAAAAATGAAGTTTTTATTGAAATTTTAAAAATAGGGCAAAAAACCCAAAAAAAACTTAAAATTTTTTTTATCAAAAACTATAAATCCGGGAACTGAAAGCTTTGTTGAGACGTATACTTCGAAGTGTCCTCCACAAACTGCTGGAAAAAAACGGGTGGGGGGACCTCCCCCTTAAAACAATTATTAGAATTCGCTGTATGCAACATTCCATTCAGATTTCTCGATAAAGTATATATACAAATTGATGGAGTAGCAATGGAATCACCTTTAGGTCCAATATTAGCTGACTTATTCATGTCAAATCTTGAACATAAAATTAATAGATTCTCAATAAATAAACCATTAATACGGATTAGATATGTAGATGATATATTGTTGTTAGGTTTAATTGGAACGTTAGTCATTCGCATACTAATAAAACACACTAATAAAGAAAAACACACATTTAATTTTACACAATGTGAGGCTCTAGCTCCTGAAACAAACTGGCGAAGAAGAATTATCAAAGAAAGTCTATTTACACACGAAATGAAAGAAAAAGCCTCAAATGACGTAAAATTTAAATTAAACATCTTGCATAAAACTATTACAAACCTATCAATTAGTGATCGTATTATTAGCTTTTTCTTGTTCTTTCTCTATAGATGCTCTATTAATTAGCACTCATACTGTATATAGAGAGATTTTATTTCACTTTTCTGTTTTTCCTGATGATGATAAGTGTCCCTTATCGAAAGGTTGAATAAACCAAAAATTGATTTTTGTTAAAGATCTATTTTGATTTTCGTAGCAGTTTTATACTCAATAATTTCTAGATCACTTTAGTATTTTTATTTCTATGTCGAAAATTCAAACTTAATTTCAAAAACAAAATCCACAGTTTTCTAAAAAGTTCAATTTTCTGTCTTTAGAGCTAAATATTAAATTTTTAAACGCAAGTCAGTATGGATAAAAATTTAATAGAAAAGTGTTCGAGAACTTCCGGCCTACCCTATATGGATAAAAATGTTGTAAGACAATCAAACTCACTTTAGAGTGAGTGTAAAATCATAAATGGCAAGAAAAACGTCAGGTTTTATTACTGTCGTACAGATGATATACAAATCCAGGTGTTTAATTTTTTTATACCATATTATTATTACAATTTTTATACATTATTTTTTTAATTTTAACAGTCAATTGATTGCGAATAATCACGTTTTCTGTAAAACAAATTCCGATACATGGTTTTTTGTTTATCATTTTTAAACTCAGAGAATATTTTATTATGTTTTACTTTTTTTAAATAATACTTTTTTTAAAGCTAATCAACAGAAGTATGATCTTCTACAACGCGAGAAAATATGAACAAGTTCGAGAGTTTCTCATGTCAAACTATAGGAAAAAGTATGATAAGAAGACGGAGTTTGGATTGAATGGAGAACGGAGTGGGAATTATTAAACTTTTACGCTGTTTAGAGAACGGAACTGAAAAGAGAACACTTTTCGAATTCTTTGGCAAAAGACTGAAAAGAGAACAGTATTGAAAGATATTTTTTGTATGTGTGCAGTTCTAAAGTAGAATTTTTTCATACGCACGCTTCTTCATGTTTCACATTCAAATTTTCATAATTCAATCGTTTTAAGATATGGTATGAATATACTCACATAGTTTTGGTTCAACAAAACTTTTGTTCGTGCAGATTCTTTTGCAAAGTATACGTTTGTAAACATATGGCTTGTAATTGCTTTTGGCTATCGTGTAATTTCAAAAGATCGTATACCTTTAGGGCTAAAAAAATGTGGTAGACCAAAAAAATCTAGCCTTATTCTATTTTTTTGAAATATCATATATATTTGCATTTTTTTGTACAATATTTTTTTGTTGGTAATGCAAGATGTATATAGAATTAATAATTCATCATTCGAACATATGACCGTTCTCTTTTCAGTCTTTCGAACTCGGAATTCTGAACCGTTCTCTTTTCAGTTTTTTCATTTTATAATTGTGCCCGTTCTCTAATCACTCCAAATTTGACCGTAAATAGGCAACCGTTCTCTTTTTTAGCCCTAATTTCGTTCTCTAAAAAGTCCTTGTCCAAAACTATATGTTTATATTCTTTTCTGATCTATACGTTGGCATCGGTAAATACTATATTGACTATGCGACATATCTTTACAAAAAAAGAACAGAATAGAACAAAATTAAACGCGAGATGGTAGCATTGGACACGTACATTTTTACAATGACACATTTTTTTGTTGACAATAAATTAGCGACTCTAACATTGTATATAACTCACTTTAGTCTGCCAATCGTTGAAAAAAATTAACGTACACATTGTTCTAGTATTTTTATATATAAAGTAAGATGTACGATCATAATATTTTCGGTAAAACTTTTAACTAACACATTTTATTATTATTCACTATGGTAACCATTACAATCTCAATCCGATCATGGAGATAAGAATATTTGACAGATTAAACGATTTTTTACTTTTAAATCTATGGCATTGAAAAACGCAAACACTTTTGTATTCATAGCAGAGTCGTATTTATCTCCCATCATACTATCGTGAAATATGAATAGATAACCGACAGCATACATAATAAAGTCTTGACAATTATTTTTAAAAGAGTTATCTGACGATATATGATGAGACTTTGATTAATAGCTTATTGCTTTTTCATTCTCATTTTAGAATTTTGTTTTTTCTGTATATCGTGATGGGTGATTCTTTAGGCTACACTCAAGTCATGTCAAATTTTAGTTCCGCTTATAATGTAACGCCCGCTCTTGTTCGTCCAACTGTTTACATTCCAATGGCAACTGAACAGCATGCCTTTCATTTACCATTACGAGATTCTCGTTCACCAGTTCGTATCGCATCCCCATTCTCCTTTTCTACTTTATCCGATCACAACAGACATGACTTTTTCGATTCATCGGTGGATTATCTTACACCGAGATCGGAATCTTCAAGTCCATTACCCGATTCGCACCGACCTCATTCGACTGTTGTCATTCATCATCATCCAGTCAGCAATTATCATAAACAATTCGAAGATGACAATGAAATTACATCTAATACTGCTTTAATGAAACTAAGGCAAAGTAATAATCAATTATCGGACACATTAGCAATGTTAGATGATTTATCAGCAAGAGAAAAGAATCATCATCCTCCTCCTCCTCATCATCATCATCAAAATTATATTCCTTCTACATCATTCAATGTTCAGTCTCCCGATTATTCTAACTATCCACTTAGTAAACATCATACAGACGGAGGTTATTCAAGTGAGAATGATACAAACGACCAAGTAAGTTTTTCAGAAATACATAAAATTTCGTTGTAAAAGATTTATTTCGTCTGATTTAGCCGAAAAGACATAATGCCAAAGTAACTTATAATATTCGAGGAAGAAGACGGGAGCCGTTATCGAAATATGAACAGCTGATGATTTCAACTTCTGATGCATATTCAAGTGACGATCCTGTAACTTATGATATTTATCCATCTGGAAGAGGATTTGTTGAGATGAGTAATAAACCAAACAACAGAAACCCGTGGTTAGTAGACGGAATACAATTACCATTAAACCAGTCTAATACAGATGTAAGTCCGCCTCGTAAGTCCCATAGACGGCATTCAATGACAAAGTACAAGCCAAAATCTCCGGATGGACCAAACTATAATGATAAACCGATTGGCTCAAGTATAAAATTTCCAAAAAGCAGAGGTAATTCAGGACTAATCATTGAATTTCAAGAGAAAAAAAAATTATTTTTGCGTTTGATTTAGAGCAGCCAAATTATCGATCATCTTTTGTGCAGCCCCCATATATTACGAGTCAAATAAGGCCTGATAGTGCTCCATCTTATGTGAGTGATCCACCTCGAAGTCTTTCTTCATCTATTGGTGGACCAATATGGAAACCAAGCGGAAAACCAAAACAACAAAAATTTATGGGCTCCATTGATAATCGAACTATTTTAGATCGACCTCCACCAGCACCGGGGATTTGGAGACCTGGTGGCAAACCACGTCAACAAAAAACAATAAAAGCATTTGATCCGCGATCAGCTCAAGTTATCCGAGAACACGAGCCTACTTGGAATCCAACATCAAAAATTATCACTAATAAACCAGTTAAATATTTTGATCCGCGATCAGATCAAATTATTCGAGAACACGAGCCTACCTGGAATCCAACATCAAAAACTGTCACTAATAAACCGGTTAAATATTTTGATCCTCGATCAAAACCGCGATCTGTAAAAACCTATCCAACAACGATGACAAAATTTACCGGTGGAAGTCAATCAGAACTTGTTCAGCCACAATATATTTCGAGTACAAATAAAAATGTACCAAAACCAAAAGTGCAAGGAATGGATCCAAAATTGAAAAAACGAATATCTTCAGCTGAAAGCAAAGTAAAATCAGCATGGGAACCATCTGCCACACAGACTGGAGTAGTCAAACCACTAGGAGAACGAAAAAAAATTCCAGAAAGTGAAGATGGTTCTTCACCATCAAAAATACAACCACGCATCAAACGGCAACCCCCAAGTGTAACAGCAAAGAAAACAAAACCATTAGATGTTGATATCGGCGATGAAAAACGTTTGCCAAAACCAACGATGGTAAATACAAGAAATAAACTTATCGATACTACGAATAAGCCAACTAAAGACACAAGAGAACGAACGAATACGGGATGGAGTTCGATTAATGATGACCCAAAAGCTTTGACGAAGCCAATATTTCAATCAACACCAATAAATCAAAGTCTTGTTGATCAAGATTTGTCAGATCACGAACAAGATCTTTTGGATAATGATACTCAAACGCCGAAAAGAAACGACGTTAATGTGATACCTCATTCTTCTATAAAACAAAAGCAAAAAACGAATCAACCAGAGACTCCAACGGATGTGAAGGTCGAACAGAGTAAGTCACATCGAAGCAGTTTTAATCAAGTGTAATTATCATTGTTATTATATCTTTTTAGTATTACCATCTGTTCCGGAGTCCCATGAGGACACTAAAGATACAATAAAAGATGGTGTTCTCATACATGGTAGCGATCATTCTGATCGAGAGAAAACAGAGAAGCCAATTGTTATTGAGAAAAAAATCGAACGAAAAGATGCTGTGCCCACACCTCCAGAAAGAAGTAAATAATTAATACTAGAACGCATGAAACACTTTTACAAAACATGCCTGTTGTTGTAGCACTGACGCCCACATCAGAACCGGAAGAAGTAAAAGAAGATGAACTTGTAGAAAATAATGATACAAGTGAAAGAAATTCAAAAGTCGATCCACAAGAGAGTCCCATGAGACGAAAAGATTTCTTACCCAAAACATCCGAACAAAGTGAGTAGAAATTCTATTATGAAGTAAATACTTGAATTTATTTCTTCTCAGCAATTACACCATCTGATAATAAATCAATCGTGAAGGATGACGTATTGATTCATGGAGACAATGATATTGAACCTAGTTCTCCAGACAAAAATCTTGATCAAAGTGATTACGGAAGCAACGCTCGGATTCACGAATGGCTCAACGATCAATCCAAAGCGCCAATAACTGATAAAAAACCGACTGACAGACAATTAGACAATAACTCACCGAATCAATCGGTTGACGATGAAACACCTGAACTCACTCCGCACGCAGACGATATCTATAGACCTCCATTTGGACCTAAAACATCGACAGCTCGAGATCAAATAAACGACAAAGAACATGAACCACAATCAGCATCTACCAAAGCAAATCAAGTTAAACCAGCAACTCAAGACAATGTAGACGATGGTGTAGATGATTTTTTTTCTTGATATTATTATACGTGAAAGGAAATGCAATGCATCTTTTACAGTGTATTTTATTTTAAAATTGAAGCGACTTCAATCATTCAACCAAACACGCATGATACTTGGGCGTCTATACTCTCACTCACTCATTGAATATACGACAAAACTGTGATTTTCTGACAAATTTTTCATTCCATTGTTTGCACGTGACGAATGTGCTAACAAGAGTAACTGACTTATCAAAAAGACTGAATACACTAATTTTTGAGCAAACAAATATAATCAGAGTAATATATTAAACGAGATTGTTTATTTATATTTCTCAAAAGTCCATTTATTTCACTTTGTTGTACCATTATATATAATTGTGATGAATGTACTTGAAATGATTTATTATTCGACCGTATTATGTACAAGACATCTGCTAAATACTATTTTTGACAGCGTTAAGTTATATTAAGTGTACAAATGTTATTATTCATATCGAACATTCAATCAATCGAACAAAAAAAAGAATACCCAAATAAAACGTGTCTGCGAATTTCTGCAACAGATCTGCATAGATTCTATTATTTTGCAAATTTGTGCCAAATATGCATGCAGAATATGAACAAAATTTGTATAAGAATTCAAGCAGAATCTGTACAGATCTGACGATTTTCGCAGAATTTCAACAGATTCTATACTTTGTCTGCAAATAATTGTGTCACAATTTGCAACAGATTTTGTGCAGAACTCTGCTAGATTCTGAGCAGACGTGAAGCAGATTTTCTCAAAATGTGCACATGCATTGCAGATTTTTAGCAGTTTTTCTGAAAGGAATTTGGAATTTTTCGAAACTTTTCTTGAGACAGTTGGGATGTTAATTTCACCATGTTTTATCCCGTTTTCTCTTCGGGAAATGATGCAATTAATTCACTCATTTCAGGCTCAGTTAAAGATTGAACTCAATCAGCACACAACAATTTTGTAGTTTGTGTATAGAGTTTATATAGAGAAGTCCTTGGATTTGATACATTCTATGAAACAGAACTTTTGTCTCATAAAACTGTGTTCTGAGAACCAAAACTGGTTAAAACTAACTAAACAGGTCAACTGTATGACATGAAAGTTTATAGCTCTTAACTTTCTCGCTTTGTTTGAAATTGCTCTGTGCTCTCATCTTGGTTCTCAACTTGTAATGAGTTTCCCCCTTCTCCCCCGTCCAATCTGACTCAGAATTATACGAAAATGTTCGGTGTTATTTCCTCTACCAATTGTGACTGCACAAAAATGCACATATTGACCAAAAGTCGAGCTATAGGTTTTCCAAAATCTCTAGGTTTTGAGGCCATTTTTCTCAGCCCAGAAACACTTTTATTGAAAATTAATGTAATATTCGGAATCAGCATGAAAAATTGCATTGAATGGTGTATAATTTGTTAATTTTACAAATAAAATATTTTTTGACAAACATTTCGCCTATCGAAAAAAAGAGTTTTTTCTGAATTCAAGCTTTTTTACTTTTATTAATATCTGATGCATAAATAAGACCATATTATGCGAAAATAATCATTTTTTAACTCAAGAAAACGAAATGTCCGCCTGCTCTATTGAAAAATGCTCACTGTGGGGAACCCCCTTAATTCGCGTAAGAATTCTTAACGGTAACGCGTACAGCGTCGAACCCGCTGGTAGAAAATATGGTTTTAAGAAATATAATACACTGTGAGAAGAAAAATCTCGCTTTTCTGCAACATTGTGTAGAAGCAACAAGCCTACGTGTTTTTGATGTCCGTGTTTATTCAGCGAAGAGTTTTTGGACAAAAATAGGTTGAAAAAACTCGCGTTAGAAAAGGGTGCTAAGTATTATGTTACCAGGAACGTCAAATTCACACTCCTGCTATAGGTGGATCACACAGACAGACCAGCTGTAGCAGCCGGTGTTGTCGGTTTATGTTTAACAGTCGCTTTGTTTGAAAGTTTTCCATTAAATTTTCCTTTTGTTGAACTAACGAGGGAAGGTCCCCAACTGTCCGATCGCTTTCGAGCCGAAACCTAGTGGACTATCGGTAGTCGATCATGCTGATTCCGAATATCAACATGAGACGTGCTGCTAGGCCTCAAGAGAGTGGTTTTCTGGAAAACCAGTTTTTCAGAAACTCTAAAAAGAACCCAAACCTTTCTTAATGATGCATGATTGTAGTCCCAAAATTTCTGATTAAAGTGAGACCTCTCCCAGCTCTACATGACCTTTCTTGCTAAGTTATAGAATTTACAAGAAAAGCCCTAAATGTTCATTGTTAGCTCAAAGCTACAGAAATAAGAAGAAATTAATTTAGGGCTTTTCTTGTTAATTCTATAACTTTG